CAATACCCTCTCGTATAAATTAAAGCTTTTAAATCGGAGACTATTAAAAATAGCTTCGGAGTAGCTAGTTTAGTACTATTTACACCCGACTAAGTGATTTAAAGCTTGATATTCGGCTTCGAACCCTAACCTCCCTAGCTAGCTAGAGGAGTGACTCAAGCCGGAATTTTACCATAAAAACCCCCTTTACGGAGAAAGATCTACGTCGTCAGGCTTCATCAATTAAAGCTTTAATTCGTATAGGATCTCGAAGCCCACCTAGCCTATCAAATCGTGTATTAAACCAGCTTATAAAAGGCTTCTAGCTCTAGCTACAAAGTTATATTTACAAGCGCAAGAAATCAAGGAATTACGCGCCGCCAACGAGGAGCAGAAGCAAAAGCGTACTCGATCCCGAAGGCAGATACCTGCTAAAGAAGGCCTCTCAGTTCAAGAAGCTTCTCAATTGATTACTGAGCCGGTAGAAGTAATTAAAGAACCTCCCCCCCTCCACGAAGAAGCCCTTCGCCGGCTTTACAACCACATATTCGAGCGCCACCAAAGTGCAGTGGTTGTGGAGAAATAGGGCATAAAATCAATAGATGCCCGGATAGATGATGTATTTAACTAAATTGACTTCAATGGCGTTATGGTGGAAATAAATGCATTTGAAATTAGTAGGTTGGGTGGGATGCGCAGCTCGGTTGTGTGCGCAGCTCGCATGTGAAATACGTTAATGATCTGTGATTAGCTCAGAGCGTTCAGGGGGTGTGCTCAATGTTGTTCTGAAATTAAAATGCGGCAAGAGGTGAGCACTAAAATGGAAGGGGGAAGGTCTCGAGTGCCAGGCATTTTCCAGTACACATGCCGCCGAAGGGCGTCGAAGTAGAGAATTGAGTCATTTCCTAGTCCATCCGAACCCAACTGCGACATAAAAGGTCAATCGCAATCTGTTGCATTGGGTTGAATGTCCTGGAGCTTTAAAATGCTGAAAGATAGTGTACAAGAGTATGTGTTGTATTGTTTCAGATTCACTCGACAAAGTGCGTATATCTACATCGTCTATTTGAACTGAGGGAGAAAAACAAGCCAACCAAACTGTATCATGGAATCCCATGAGGATTTGAATGATATCATTATATCTTTAATCATCAAATCGTCCTATTAACCTCAGAAATGCCCATTTTCAGGAAGTGGCAGCAAGGGACAGCCACTATTATCGCAACCAGCATACGACACGGTATTGCCCCACCAGTTAATATCAACAGCATGGAACTGGACAGCAAAGAAGATCACCAGACCCGCAATACCAATCCCGCAGGAGAACGAGGAACTAAGCACATAGGCATACTTTTGCCACCACCTTTCATATCTGCCCTTCACGTAGTAGTTGACACCGAATCCAACCACGAGAGCCAGCCAAGCATAGGTGAAGTTGTACGGGGCCCACCAAAGGATACCAGATAAGATAAGAGGAATATTAATAAAGCGGACCCAAGAGTTGGGGTAGCACTTAGCGAGGAAGTAGAAGGGGACGGGGAGAAGAGCGCCAGCAAGGAATCCCCATTCCAGAGGGTGGTAGATGCCATTGTTGCCGTAGATGCGTGCAGGGCCAATGACTCCCCAGATAACGGATGCCGTGAAGAATGTGTGAGTATCTAGAAAAGTTAGCAATCCATATCCTGTATAGTCGTGCCCCAGATGAAGAGCCTTTACCAGGACATGTGAACTTGGATGATTGATCAGAAGAACAAACATCCTTAATGTTGTTCATCTGCCAGGCGTTGACTCCAATCGACACAAATGCAGCAACGACAGTGGCAATAGTCTGGGCGGCAAACAGTGTGCGGGGAGCGATCTTCATATAATGACCCAATTTGAGATCAGCAACAAACTGAATTGACTGTGCGGATGCGATGTAACCATATGACTTGAAGATCATGTTTGCGATTGGGTTGTTTTGCACAGCGTAGCCACCGATAAACTCGGCAATAACGTTGTTGGTGACCTCAACATTAGTGACGGCCAGAATGATTCCAATGGGGATCTGCAAGAAAACACAGAGCAACAAACCAACGACGATTCCCCAGATCGGCATTCCGGTGTCATAGATACTGCAGCAAACGCACCCCATAATGAACGCGATGGCTAGGATACTCAAGTACCACCATTCAGGGGCCTCTTTGTACTCACGCATGAGGCGGTTGTGCACATCGTGGTACTCATCTCGAGCGCTCGACCACTTGAGTACCGCACGGAAGCCAGTCATGATTTCTCGTCTGTAGTAGAGTCCCGCGTAAACAATAGTTGCGAGGTAGATGGCGAAGAAGCCGGAGTAAAGGACTGAATTGGCGGCAGAGAGATAGGCTTGGCCGTACACTTCGTAGGCCTTCTCGTCGAGGGTAAATTTCGAGGTGAGGATACGGCTAACGTTGTAACTATTGCCGGTGTTGTCAAAGACATCGTTGCTGTTGATGGGCAGATAGGCAGTATTCCACGCATTGCAGAAGTAAACAGGCAGGATGATCACAAGGCCAGAAAGCGCCATGCCGATCACAGAGTTCAGCAAGGAGAAGAATGGGGTGACAACTGGATCCCAGGCGTATGAGATAACATTCCAGTCAAAGGTAGGGAGGGGATTAAATCCTAGTCCACCAATTGAGCCAGTGATGATAGCCAGTTTGATGTTTTCCGGCGCGATCCAAGTCATCCAATTGAAGTAAGACAAGGCTTGGAAGATGTAGTCGGGGAACCAGAAGTAGACAAACATTCCACAAAAGCAGTACAGGAAGAATCGATAGCGAGACATCGTCCATCCGTGGATTGATTCTGATCTGCCGTCGTTGTGCAGGGCTCGGTTGAGAGCAATCTGGGCCAGGTTCTTGGGCCACAACATGGCAGGAGGGTAGACTAAGAATCGACGTGTGATACCAGCACATCCGTAGCCAATCAACTGGGTAGATAGAGTCAGCAGAATTTGGAATCCTGCGCTGTCGGCCAGTTCCTTCATGCCGTAAAACATCTCCAGTTTGAGTACCTGGAAGATGTAGGTCACGTAGGCTGTTCCATTGAGGCCTCCATATCCAACATTAGACATGATGGAGATGAGCATGTGCTCCTTCTGGTTGAAGGGACCCGAATTAAGACTGAAATTTCTTCCCCAGACAGTATAGGTGGTGGTGGGTAGAACTCGAGCGAGGAACACACCACATGGATAGGACAGCAACTGAGCAACGACAGTATAGAGATAAATTCCGGGATACCGCAGAGAGAAGAATTGATCTATCCCAGTACCCAAGATTGTGAAGATAATACCGAGAAACCAAGCACGGAAGGTGTTGACCGGCGTTGAGGGATCATCGGTATTGTCGACAACCGCACGAACTTCGGCATAGGGTGAATCATTCAGCAGAAGATCACGTTCAGCCTGTATCTCAGCTATAAGACCCTGCAGACGGGCTGTTTCTAACTTGTCGGGTGTCTCTCGCAGTGCAGCACGAGCCGAGTTGAGGATCTCCGTGGGGAAGTTGGGATCCAGCTCATGGTCTTTGATAGTTTCGCGCAGGGTGTCCAGCATTTCTGAGAGATCTGCATCAGAGACTTCAACAACCGGCTGGACTTTCTCCACGTCGAAGGGGCCCACTGGTGTGGTTTCGTAGAGACGACCATCTTTTTCTGAGTCTGCCATAGCGATGATCGATCTAGGTGAGCCCTAAATGCTATCGATGCAGGGAGGGGTTTTTGGGTAGCCCGCAAATGTAGTCAAGTCGCGAGTGGCCGTCTTGAGATACAAGGTTATAGCCATTTTTTTTATATCCATTGCGTAAATGACACCTTTGTATGGAATCCTAGTACAAGTCACCGGCTATCCGCCGGTGCTTGGTTGCTATGGCCAGATAAGGCGATTGATAGGCTTTCGCCAATGAAAACCAGTGATCATATCGTATCAAGTGCAGCAATTTAGAAGAATTGTACTATACTCGTGGGCATCACAGTTGTGAGGGCAAATTTCTCACTAGCGTTGTGCTCACCCTTACCGCGAGTCATGATTGGTGCTTGCGCTATCTAAAAGCTTGACTGTTGGACTAAGAGTCTCAAGGGCTGTTCTAAAGCAAGCTATCATTCGTCTCTTGACACGGGCTGTTTTGTCTGTGCACGCTCTTAAAATCCTTCCCCGGACCCACCTTCATCCCCGTCGGAGCTCCGTATCTTCTTTTGGTGTGAATGGTGAGAGAGATAGCCAGTCAGCACTCCCCTTTTGCTTATCACGGTACTTTTCTTCGGGTATTGATCCAGTCAAACATGCTTGACACAAGATCCGACCACAAGATCCGACCACAGGAAACCATGTGGAAGCAATGCGGGAGAGGCCGACTGCAGCGACCAACGCGTGCGTGCTTGGTACTGATAACCACTGTTCCACCAAGGTATAAGGATCCGATCAGATGTAATCAAAGCAAAAGCCCCCTCTTGACGGTAAATATTCGGAACGAATTATGCAATTCGCGACATGGTAATTTTGTGGCCTTGTGACGATTGCCAAAAATGCGGCGGTAGAGTTAGCCGGAGCGTACTAAATTTGAACTAGCACCAACAATTGCTTGTGAAAGTGATTGCATACTGGGCGGCTTATGCGGGAGTTATGGACACTCTCGGTTGATTCCTCTGTGGCGTGAACTGGGAGACTTGCATAGATAGTCAATGTGGAATTTGGATAGACGGGTGGGACATTGTTTCGGCAACTTGGAGCAGTCGCTGCCAGTACAACCAAGTGAGTTACGCACAATTATTTGAATTCACATGCCCTGCGGTTCGTGTATACATTACATATTCATAGGTAGAGATCTGTGTTATAATTCACAAAGATTATCGAAATCCCATGGCACACTAACCGTTGCCAGACGAAGAGCCTTTTCAACACTCTGCCGTCGGAACACCGGCCCGTTCCCAACGCATATGGCTTCTTTTGAGAGGACTACAGTGGCATTAGTGGAGTTCTTTAACAAGTTCCATTCCTGAGAACTCACATTTAACGAATGCCGTTAGATCAAGTGATGACGAGACTGAATAATCAAAACGGCCAGAGGAATCAAGAAAGTTCTCAAAGATCACTCTTTTGTCGCGCAGGTATCCTTGCACTCCGCTGGCATCCATCCACGCACCAGAAGCTGACTCGAGCGCAATCTGCCATGTCTTGGACGGGACTTGGAGTTGTTCATTCGAGAATATGGCCATATTGGACTGCAGGGCGTGAAGCACATTAGCCTTGTGATCTGTCAAGACACCGGTCTTGTCCTGCATGACATCATGAAAGCCTGAGATCAGGCGATTGCGTGCTGACGGACTCGGAATAGATCCAAAGATTCGTAGGACCGCGGGGCTGTTTGGGTTGTCGATAAGAATGCGATATCCACCCTGACAGCAAGTTCGCACTAAACGTTGTGCGAGATTCCACTGCCTTTCGGGCGCTATACTACTAGAGAGTAGATCTAGGGTTGGGGGGTTCGATGATGGCGAAGTAATTTGAGGAAATTGAACAGTGGCCGGTGACATGACGAGGTCGATTGCCAAGGTGGATTGACCTTGATATGGTGGAGTAGGAGGGCCGGGCCATCTCGTAGCAGCTGGTCGTATTATATTCTCGGCATCTGTCGAAGTCTCCGAGTGTTTGTTATCCAGAACTGGTGTCGGGGCTGTATTATTATTTGTGATTTGTGACTCTTTTGCGGCTTGAACGACGGGGAGGGCTCCATCAGTCGGATCATCGCTCCCAGCCTTTGCAAGCGACACGCATTGCTGAATTATGTTTTGAAGAGCCGATGCAACTTGCGGATATTGCGAGAGGAGTTGCTCTTGTATAAGAAGACTACTGAAGGAGAGGAAAGATTGGCTGATATTCTCGATGCCGGTTTCTAATTCGTGTACGCGATTCTGTAGGTTACCAATCGTGGTCTCTTTTCTTTTCCGATATGCCTGCTGCGCGAGGCGGAGTTGTTTGCGGCGTCTCTAGAAATTCATGATGATAAGCATAGGAACTTGGAGCGTTGGGGTCTGACCCACCTCTGGTACTTCTTGCTCGTTGGTCACAGTTCGAGGTCGACCGCGTTTGCGACCACTCGGTTTAGCCGTTCCTTCATTCATTGTTCGGAATTAGATATGTGTAACGATCTCTGTCTCCTGTTGTATCCAGGATGTGCAGCTTGAGGTTCATAAGGAGCATGACAAATGCAGAGGCGATGCGACAACTAGCCGAGGCGCCGGGGTGTTGAATAATCGAAAAATCAGGGGCGAGTGGATGACATAATATTTCCAGGGGTCCACGGGCAGGCGGTCATTGGAGGGACGCTCTGATCAACTTTGTCCATTTTGAGAGAGATCTATGGTATCAACAGTGAATGGGACGACCAATAAAGAGGCATAATTTACTCTGAATTCTCTCTAACCAAATTGACAAAATCCGCTCTTTTTCCAATTTGTGCGGACCAAGCTGACTAAACATGACATTCAATATGTGTGGACTGCGCCATCATGGCGGTCCGTAGATTTTCCGGGGTATTCCACCCTGTTGTCAACTATGTATTGTTGGTTTTCGGCACATCTGCCTACGGACGCCATATGCAGATGTTGCAACAAATCAAAAAAAAAAACTATAATGGCAATACTGAACACCTAGTTATGCTCGAAAGAAAGTAGTGCATCTGCGATAAGACCCATTTCTATGAATTTGCTTGAAGATGTTGTCGAAGTGTACTCCAAAAGGCCAGCTGACTTCAAGAAACCCACTGTAAAATCCAACATAAACATTACAACTATCATCAAGAGACTTTCGAAAGGAGATGCTGCATGTGCTGCATGAGCTTCCAAAAATCCCGATCATTCGTCATGCAGATCCTCTTCATCCGCATCCCCCAAACTATCTTCCACGTCGGACATTGACAAACTTTCCTCGAACTTGAAAGATTTCAAGTTTGGCAGGCTTTCAGATAAAAGCCTCAAATCACGGAATGTAAAGTATGGCTGACGTTTTAATAATAACGTTCAACAGCCTCGGGAAAACCTTCTAGTTGTGCAAAAGTAGCGGTTAGGCATGTGGGGTAGCAGACGATAGCTGGTGAAGCAAACCGGAATCCGGTCAGCGAGATAGTCCCCTTGATCTGGATTCAGATATACCGGCCTCATGTAAGAGTCGACATGAAGGGTCTTGAGGTTTGGCATGCTCAAAGTTGGAAAGCGGACACACTTCTCGGGGTCCGGGTCGTGAAAGGTGAAGACCAAGCGTCAAATGTGAAACTATGGGGAGACCACAGTTTCCAGAGCTGGCCGTATTACCGATTTGGTCCCTTGGTTATAAAATGTCATAGTTGCGGTCTTCAAAAGGTTGTTGGAAATTCTTATAGTTTCCTATCTCACGATGTGCCTTGGTGTGTGTGTTTTGTTGCCTTTTGCTTTAATCTCTCGTCGTTACGATCCTGTTAACATAGAGTGTACCAAGTTGAAAGATAGCTACTATTGAACGTAGGCCTCAGACCAAGCTTTTCTGACCGCAGCAGCAAATTAAGGCTTTTGATTACGATCAGACTACAGACAGTCCAATAAGCTTTGAACACACGAAGACACGTTTATGAATGTAGAGCACACGTGCCCTATAAATTGGATATTCCGTCTGTGAATGATAAAAGGTAGACTGCAAGGAAGAATAGAAGGTGCCTCAAAGCGCCTAAATGCCGCGGCTGTTTCATTGAGCCGTTGAAGTCATCGCTCATGTGTCCTGTTCAATATAAAATTGTCATCAGTAATAATACAAACGCAAATGCGTTCAAGCCAGCGCAGCAACACGCCCAAAGAGAGCACACAAGTCACCGGCCATTATAGGAACTGGCGAATCGCACTGCCCACCGATGGAGCAATAAGAGAACTTAAAGCCGACGCTGAAGCCTCCCGAGTGAGCGTATTGGTACAATCAAGAGTAGTAGTGGTCGAACATGTGGTTCTGCTCATCAATTGAGTCAACGATCCTCGCGAAATCTCATCGCCAGAGGGGGAAAATGCAACCGAAGAAAAAGGCAATGGTGCTGACATAGAGCGGAAGGTAGACTATAGGGGGAAGGATTCGATATTAACGAACGAATCTAAGCAAGGGATTCGGGAGGTCGCTCACTTATTGAGCCTCCACCTGGTGGCTGTTTTTGGCCAGAGCTAGACTCCCAGCCAGACTGGTATCCTGTCGATGAGGCCGAAGGAGCGCCAGTCGCCACCCAGGGCCAGACATCTGGGGTGACCCAGCTTGACGTCTCTTTGTGGGTTCCACTCCAGGGAACCGGGACGCTATCGATGGTTGCAGTAATTACAGGTGCGGACTCGGTCGATGTGGGCTCAGCGGCTCTGTTGCCATTGACTTTTCCGCCTTCTGCGATAATTGACTGCCATGAGCCACTTTTGTCGCCATATCTGTACGAAGTTCCGGTAGAGTAATCAGTCACGGTCATTGACTTCATATGCATCTTGAACGGGCCCTGGCTATAGTCTGTTAGACCACCAGCCCAGTCTGCAGGAGCACAAGCTGTTAGAAGTCACGACAGAGAGAATTTGCAGGGCAATCCCACTCACCAATAGTGCCCTTGGAGTTGTTCGGATCACCGCCAGCCCACACACCGACCTTGACCATCATCGGGCTCTGTGGGTACTGGTTGGTTTCTGCCGTCTCAGGAGTGAGAACACGAACAGTCTTGCCATCAATCGACCACACAATCTGGCTACTGGTCCAGTCGATGGAAAAAGTGTGGAAGTCGTCATGGTTTCCGGGATTATCATGGAAGGCGCCACGGCTGTATGAACTTGTGTCTCCTTTGCCGAAGTAATTGGTCTGCACTTGGGCGTCATTTCCACCCAGCCACTCCCAGTCAATTTCGTCTAGATCATCGGACTGTAGAACTGCACTGCTCACGATTCCTGTCCCTGGCGCTGCCTTGATGATGCATTCCACGCGGCCGAACATGATGTACCAGCCAGATTGAATCAGTGGACCATCACCCTGTTTAGAAATAGTGAAGGTTGCACCATTCGTTTGGTCATATGTGACGGCTCCAGTAGACTTGAAACCACCAGATGCGCCACTTGTGAAATCGAACGTCTTGTCAGATTGGCTAAATGCAGGATCGGCGGGACATGCTGCTGGATGTTAGTGACCTGTATTGACACAACCGTAGCTATGAGCCTTACACTTCTGTGTCGGATTGCAATCCGTATAAGTCTGAGCCACGACTTGCGTAGAAGACAGTAGACTCAGCGCCGCACCAAGAAAGAATCGCATGGTGGGCCTAGTGGAGTAAGTAACCTATAAGTGATCTCGCAACTATTATGCAATTTTGAAGATGAGTGTTGATACAAAAGGGTAACAAGTGAGGAAAGAAGAGCGAGGAGATTTCAAGTAAGCCAGGAGAGTACATAAACGGTCTTAAACATCTTAGGAAGGTGCCAGCCTCCTCCGTTTCGGTGGTTTCTTTTCCTGGTCGATCCGTGGGTCTCCGGCTGTCAATCGTCCAATCATATCCCGTCCCGGGTAGAGTTTGTGTCCACAGGTGGACCGGCGGTGGACCAGCTACGGAAGGAGCTACGCCACGTTGTTCCGAGTCTACTTGGTACGTGGAGTGATTCCATCTTGTCTCCCCATACACTCGGCGGGTGTGCAGTCGAGATACAAATGTGTATCCTCAGGGTCAGTGTACATCGTGCATGTACAATGGCTACTCTGGATAGTGCGTGACACAGAACACATCCGAATGGGGCATCTTCGATCAAGAACCTTGGGAAACGTCCTTACTCGGTACTTGGACATTCGTTCGATGAAACCAGTCTACCTGAGAAATCAGAAAAAAAGCGGCAAGGCCCAAGCAAAATAAATAGGTGGCAGGGTACACACGCATAACAGGACCCACAGCCCCCAGCCTCTCGCATTTACACCTCTAGTTATCAGAGATGTGATCTCATGTTGAAGATTTTCTCTACGGAGTCCTCCGTACACAATATTAATTTAAACAGAGTGCTTGTCTTCTATCGGAAACAAACAGGTGTAGTATTCATTATAATCGTAAATCCAATCTTTGGGCCAGGACTGTCTACCATTGGGTAGCCATCTCCGCGTCAGCTCTAGCGGCCTTACGAATGATGTGAATTTAACAACCAACCTAGGATAACTTTCTCAGATCTGTATCTTTCAACTAAGGGGCACACTGCCTAGGTGCGAAATTAGCAGAAGGGGTTTATCCAGACCTTGGCCGACATAAAGCTGCCGATCGATGTAAGGGCGATCTGCCGGGTTACGAATTGAGCCACAACAACGGGAGAAATCTAATCCAACAACTATAAGTTCTATCGTATCGCAATGCATAGTTTGTTTCTATGACCATGAAGAATCGCCTACGTGAAAGATCTATCCAGGTGTGCACCCAAGGCCCCTGTACGACTAGGGCGGTATGCTGGACTACCTAATTATTCCACTTATGCCACTGTGCTTTCAGCTATACGCAAAGCAACTGGCGATACTTTAACATTACTATCTGATCCTTCACTGTGGGTGACCTAGTTCCCCTCGTTCCTAGGTACGCTTCTTGCCGAAACAACTATGGTCGTGAGCGGCGGTAACAAAGAGCAAGAGTTTGAGAAGGCTCGTCAGATCGTCACCACCAGCAACGAGGCTATAGGCAAGGCGACCGTCACTGCTCATTGAACCGACACTAAAGGTCAATTCCGCCGACGGAATTCGTGAAAACACGGAGTGATCTAAGTGGATCTAATGGTTATAGATCAGGTAAATCACACGTGAAACCCAGACTTATTTGTGAGCTTTACGTCCTAGTTCGCATTGCTTAACTCAACCGTTTCGGCTCGACAGTGGGCACGAGAAATTCAAAGATAATAAGTTAATGTTCCCCTCGCCTAGATTTATAGGGTCCCTAAACTAGTGATCTCTGATGGATTGCTAGACCCACATTTCGGTTGTGTTCAATCTACTCCATAATTCATACCTTAAAGGAAACTGCGAGGAAGTGAGGATCTCTTAGTTAAATTATATGCATAGAATCCTACACGAAGCTAGTGGCATAGCCGTCATAGATACAACTCTGACACCAAGCAACCTTTCTGACCATTCCACCCCTGCTCAAACAGCAAGGGCCATGCTTTCGTCCAGGAACTAGCACTCAGCACAAAACAACATCTGCCCGGTGTTACTCCTAACGAACTGGATAGCACTCACTATACCTGTTTATTTCAAGCCAAAGAGTGAAAGTTTAGAAGAAAAAGGAGTGCTTCGGTCTTCAATCGCTACGCAATGAAGGTTGTCCGAAGTGGCTTTGATCTAGCTTATTTGAATCTCAAGGGTATTCTGTGGGCCGATCTTTTCATCTATAGTACCAGATCTCTGTGTAATAATCGGAATCTATGGCTTTTATTGGGTAAAATAGTTATTTCTCAAACATGGCCTATGGTTTGAGTGGATGTCTCACAGGGTAGATCAAATGCAACAAAGGGAACTTTAGCTGTGCAACGGTAGCAACATATTGCTTGGTGATCTAAGCTGTCACCTTCCAGATAAGCCAAGAGAGTATGAGTACAACCTTGGAAGTGCTACAGGGGTTCTTTGTCCCTCAATACCTCGAAAGTGGAATCATCCCCGGGGCTGAGATGACGGTCCACTGGCTCGAGTATGCTCCGAAAAGGGAAATGCAAGGTAAGAATGGCACCCGTGTATGGCTTAATGGATTACTAGCACGCTCTTTACGAGAGAAAGCCAAAAATAGAACAGAATACTACCAAAGTTGAAGCAGAACAAAGATGGGGGAGCTCCACAGTCTCCCTGTTGAGCACGGACAGAATCACGGACCATGCCCATTGAAAATGGTTATATCTATAAAAAAAAAATAAGACATGGAGAGAGGTGAAGAAGTGAAGAAATAAAGAAGTGAAGAAGAATACAAGGTATAGTCTCAACTACCTAATCTGCAAGTAATTTGCAGGTTTAAGGGTGAAGATGTTCGGTGTCTTCTCAGGCAAAAAAGGGTAGCGCTAAAAGCCTCCATGAGGCTTAGTACCCGAAGCTCACACGAATTTCTTCTTCCTCCATCTCTTTCTTATTAGATCAATCTCGCGTTGAGTTTCGGGTTTTGAATTTTTAGCATTTGACGGATTTTGGCTCGGTCGTCAATACGTTGATCCGCCTTTTGTCACGAGTCACAACTATCCCCACTCTTCTTTCCCCCCCCCCCAGTTGACCCTCTCGGACTTCAATAATCACCCCGTTCGCCTTGCCAGTATGCGCCCGGGTTGCCCTTAACCACAATCTCTTCCTAAAACCTCATGAAATAACGCCCCTTTTTGATCCTCACGCCCGACGCTAAATTCACGCCCTCGGTCTGCATCAGCTTTCCCAAACGCCTCCCTCCGCTATCCTTACGCCCCGCTAGCCATCCCAAACCCTTCGCGCTCTTGGTGACAACTCACTTATTTGCCTTGTCTCGGTTTCAAATTGAATGTCCAACAGAATTTCTTCCAGCTATTAGACTCTCTGCCGCGTCGCCGGGTTGGCCTTCACAACGTGGCGCTAGCACCCGAGACAGCAGAATTGACAACCACCTGTTGTAGCTCCCACCGGTCGCCCACACCATCCGATATTCATCGGTTCTTTTAATGCTGGACCGTTCTAAAATATTACGATCTCCCAAGATACAGCTGGCTGCAAATTGGCTAGGACCGCCGTGGTGGCATTCGGCCGAGTCTGAGCGCAGCCATGCCGGCGCGGGACCGCAACCAACCCGACAATCGTCAAGGTTCGGAGAGCTCTGAACATAGCTGGATGTCGCAAGATACAGTGCGAAACTCTGAGAGTCTGTCTCGAGATCAAGACGAGGCCTCTGTAGGAGGTCACAATGCCGACTCGTTTCCGGGTTCCTTGAAAATAGGCTCCAAGTAAGCTTTCGTTTCCCCAAATGACCTTCTGGCTTAATAAAAGCGTCGAATCCAAGCCCGGAAAGAAGAAGCGCTAAGAATTTTTTTTGTGCCAGGCCCGAGTCCTCAAACCCCCTTCGGATTGACTGGGGAAATTCCTTGTGGTCATGGAACTCCCCCAGTATTTCCCCCACCGAACAACGCAAAGCCTCTGGGTTTAGCAATCACCGCGAGGCTTTGATATTCTCGGGCAGTAGATATAGCCCGTCTCAATCATCCATCCCGAGTCCTCGACCTCCGCCCCTTCACCAATCTCGCGCCGACTCCGATGAGATTGAGTCGATTGCCCCGTGGTCCACACTCCCCAACAGTGATCAGCAAGAGGCCAGTGGTACTTTTTATCATGATTGCTCTGAGCAAGAAGCCTCACCTGCATCATTCACTTTTCGCCCCACGACCGGACGAACTATCGCAAGCGAACCGGCTGAGTATGAATATCATGGGGAACATCGCCGCCCATCTGCTGCAAGCGCAACTACAATCAGTAGCCAGGGGTCTAGATCTAGTCTTAGTCAAAAGTTCCGAAAGAAGCATTTGAAAGGTCTACTTGGAGATGACTATCCTTCGCCTGGCGAGCTTCAAACCGATGACGATGGCTCCCAGAACCCACCGAGCAGACGTGGAGGACCAGTCGACCAGTTGAAGGCGCGTGAGAGAGCGAATTCAGATGGCTCGCGCAATACGCCCGAGAACTCCAACTCCTCGCAACGTCCCCAGAGGTTGCGGGCAAACACTCCTTTACCCTCCAGTGACATCACCCCGTGGGATTACCAGAGCTTTAATGACATTCCGCAATATGGGGAGGCACCAGTACGTCATGTACCTATCGGCCCCAACGGGCAGCATCTTCCATCCTCGGAAAATGGTGCCTCGGGGCAGAGGGAGCCAAGCCGACGGGGACCTGGCAGACACCGTTCTTCACGAAGCAAGGAAGAAAACCCGACTCTTGCTGGCGATCTGGCATGGTTCCAACCCCGACCTACCACTGGCAGAGACGACATTGGATTGCGGCCGTTTAATGAGAACTACCTGCATTCAGTGACTGACATGAGCGACTCTGCTACACTCGGGGGTCGGTCAACAAGTCCAACACCCAGCATGCGCAGCGCATACCGAGACCCTGATCAGAACTCACAGCATCCCAGACTCGGCGGGTTCATCAAAAAGATCCTCGGCAAGTCGCATGACAAATCGAGAAACTCCTCCCCACCGCGGCGCGAAAGGCAAGGCAGCCTCGAAGGAAGCATTTCCTCTCGATACCCAGAGTCAGTGGATTCAGACCGAAAGAAAGATTCTGGAAAGGGCCTG